CGCCCCGCCCCAGCCCGCGCCCCGCCCCCTCACAGCGCCCCCACCAATACAGGTTACCTCCAGGTCTCTGACTCTTGCTGGCCCTGTCCTTGGGTCCAGACCCAGCGAGGGCCGTGACCACCCACTAGACCACGCTGCCCGTCTGTGGGGAGACCCTGAACTCTCCATCTCGCTGGGCCCAGACACAGGGCAGGCGACTCACTCGCAGCAGCCGGGGACTGGTCTGTGGGATCGCGCTTCTTGCCCACGGGCCTCCGTCCCTTGCTGCCCACGCCAGGATAGGACGTGGGTGGTGGGGGCATGTCTCCCCACCGCATGGGAGTGGCCGCTTCCCTGCAGGGGCAGCTTCAAAGGCCCCCTCCGAAAGAGGGCCAAAGGACACCCAGCCCAGGGGTGGGGACTTCTTGATGCGGTTCCTTCTGGGGGTGACAGGCTCTAAATGACCCGTGTGCCCCGCCACCACGTCTTCATGCCCTGTAGCCCCCTCCCTATGGTGTGGGCAAGCTGGCCTGGATAGCTGGACACGTGTGGGGACAGGTTATAGGGGCAGCTTGCTGGGAGCCAGCCCCTTGCTGGTGGCCCCTCCCCCAGACAGCCTGAGTGGCGGCCCTGCAGGACCCTGGTGGGGCTGTCCCTGGGCGGTCATCAGTGTGTGTGGCTGTGGTGACTCTTCCTGTGGACATAACTCACAGTGGGGAGGGCCCAGGTGGGACGGGCAGGCAGGACACGCGCCAGGCCGCTCCCAGGCCATGGGCCCTGCCTCCAGCACCCAGGCCTGTGTCCAGGTGCCTGACCCCCACCAGGCCCCTGACCCCAAGCCTGCTCCCTGGCCTGCCAGGGCAGGGCCTTGCGCCAGCCTGTAGCCCTCACTTGCTGGCCAGTGACCCCACGACTGCCCCTTGGCTGCCCCCACCAGGGAGCCAGCCAGAGAGCCTCCCAGCCCGCCATGTGCCTGGAGGACACACAGTGGGGCGGGGGAGTGAAGAGAAGAGAGGGTGGGCGGTGCTGAGGGCTGTGGGGCCTTGGGGCGTGTGGCGTGGGGCCCAAAGTTTGTAATCCTGTACTGAGTCCTCAACCAGCCTTAGCTAGTAAAGGAAGCTCAGACTTAGCAAGATACAGCTGTTCCCCGGTGGGGCAGCCCACTTCCCCACCAGTATCCATGCTCGGTCCTAAGGGCCCAGGGCTGGGCACTGCCCTTGGTCCCGGGAGGGCCCCTCGGAACTCGGGAGGGCCCCTGGGAACACAGCACCCAGGTGGTGGGGGCAGTCCGGCCATCCACCACCCCACCCGCAGTTGGACAGTGGCCCTCCCGCCCAGGGCCCATGCGCCTACCAGCCAGGAGCTCAGCCTGGCCTCCTGGCCTCTCAGCTCGGCTGGGGTGGACAGGGACCCCAACTCTCCTTCCTGGCACAGGTGTTGGGGCAGAGGCACCCACAGGAGCAAGCGGGCCCCCAGGGCCGACCCGGAACAGAAGACGCAGTTCGGTGCAGACGACACTTCCTTTATTGCCATCAGGGACAGCCAAGCGGGGTGCACCGGGGCCACAGTGGACAACAGCGGTCTGCTGGCAGGGGCTGGGCCCGGGCGTCGCCCGCCCAGGAGCCAGACCCCCGCCCCAGCCGGCCTGAGCGAAAGCAGGGAAAGCAGCGAGAGCAGCCCAACCGGAACCAGAACCAGGGGACCAGCACAGGGCTGGGGGCAGAGCCAGGGCCGTGGCTGCCCCTCCGCAGACCCCCTCTTTGGGCAGACCTCGCCCCTCCACAGATCTGCCTCTCTGCAGACCCCACCCCTCCGCAGGCCCCGCCCTCCGCAGGCCCCGCCCCACCCGCAGGCCCCGCCCACTGGGATTCGGCGCTGCAGGGGGCGCCCTGCAGGGTGCTGGACCGAAGTCCTGCAGCAAGGGCCCCATGATGCCTGGGCGGGCGGGGCGGGGCAGGGCGGTTCCGCCCCCGGGGTCGGCTCCCTCTGGCCTCGGCAGCCACCATGGCGCCGGCCTCTCGCCCTCCGCGGCCTGGCCCTATTTCTCCTCCTCAGGGGAGAAGCAATCTCGGGCATCAAAAAAGGTGACGGTTTCCTCCTGCGGGTTTTGCTCCGCCAGCGCAGCCCCGTCCCCCGTGGCGCGCTGGCTCTTCTTGCTGGGAGAGGAGGAGAAGCCCAACTTGGGGAGTCTGAACCAGCCCCCCTTCTCCTGTCTTTTGGGGGGCCCTGCCTCAGGCCCCTGCCCTGGTGGTTCCGGTGCTGGGGGTGGGTCCTGGGCTGTGCCCGCGGAGGGAGCTTCCGCCTGCTCGGCAGAGAAGCCCAAGCTGGGGAACCAGAGTCTGAGCAGGCCGGCAGGCCTCCCGCTGGCCGCCCGGGGCCCGGCGGCCGCGCTGTCCACGGAGTCGGGGTCTCGTGGCCACTGGGCCTGAAGAGATCCCCAGCCTGAGGGCG